CAGAAATGTGAAAATTAAGTAATGCACAGAACCAGGAACTTCGCTGCGAGCCCTGTTTTATGACCTTCTACCGTATCTCATTATGCTCATTCTAGAGCACATTAGCCTTTATCCCTAGAAATGCTATGTCCCTTCTGAAAGCATCACCAATGCATCGGAAAACTTTTATCACTCGATGTCTGCTTTGTCCCGGCCGTCAAAGATTATCGTTGCCTAGGTGATCCTTCTTTGCCCAGCCCCTGGCTATACGTCGCCGCATATCACAGATTATGCTGATTTGCCGCTTCTGAGGCTCGAGCCTGACAAACATTTTCGAAATCTCGCTCAGTTATGCCCGCTATTCCTGATTTTCCGTTTGGAGTCATATTCAGTGAATACTTTATCCATAAGCGATTCACTTCTTTGAATGTTCTTACCATTAGTTCCGACACATGGGTTTGAAGAAGTACTTGCTTGGATAGTGCACCATTCCGAATCCTCTCTCATCGCTTCAGAGATCTATGCAGCCCATAAGTTTCATCCTTTCGATATTGATTTATAGAACACGATATTAGAAAGCGGCAGCGCTGGAGTATGTGCTTCCACAGCTCTCAGAAGGCCCCGAGAATCCACCAGAAGAACCCTCTGCGGTTCTACTTGGCTGATCAGAAACTTTAGAGCCCTTGCTCATAAGCAAAGCTGTTGACTTAGGCATTATTCTAGCTAAGCTGTTGGCGTGGGCCTAATTCTTGATTGACTTGAGCTGATGGAGACATGATTCTTTCCAAATTCTGCAGAACATGTTCGTCACTTTCCCAGAAGCCCACGGTGCCCAGGTCGTATGTTCTGTATAAAGACCGAATCCTATCCTGAGCGAATTGGATTAGGCTACTATAGTTCGTATCCGTAGAAGAGCTAGCTACTGCCAGACTCTCCTAAAAGGATAAACTCTCTAGCCTGTCACGCTGGTGCGAGTCTTAGATCACTTCCGGTCCGGGGACTGCCTAAGGGCCTGAGGACTTCTCGTACAAAAAAAGAATGACTGTAGTGACGTATTTTGCCTAAGCCTAAATGTGAAGGAGCTGTTAAGTTTGTGGACCGAATTATTGCGTCACAATTCTCTTTAAATGTCACTTGCTATAAGTTTTGCACTGAGATTACCTTTCATGTCCCCTCTTACTAGCACCACGGCCCACATTACGTCAACTCAGAAAACTTGCTAACATATCCTTGCTAGTTGACTCAAACCCAGCAGATCGTTTTACGGGTCACTGGCTCATTCCAAGAGCACTATAGAGGGGAGCAATAAAAAAGACGCCTTTCTTCTTGGACTTTCAAGGCGATAGGGGTTCAGCTCAGGTAACACACTTGGATATTCCGTCTTCTTCAGGATCTCAACGCCTTCGATTCCATGTGCTAGCACCCAATCCTGGCAGCAGCTACGGAAGTTCCCAAAGATGGTTTTTCAGGCGGCGACATGAGGCAGGATATTCTACCTCGAGCTGGTCAATGTACCGTGAGTGTTACCCTCAGTGTTAACGGAGAAAAATCGGTCATTCCGCATATCAGGAAACCCGTCCATACATCAACAGCTTCGCTCCATGGCGAGTCGCGTGAAATGATATTCTCAGACCGTAGCGACGTGTTCAAGCTGCTAAATTTGGAGGTCTATTCATGCAAAGAGTGCTGGTCTCACCGGTGCTGCCTCAGTACTGCACCCACAATTCCGTAGCTTCTCCAGCCCGCTGCGATTGCAGATGCTCATATTTTGGTGTACATAAAGTGATGACCAAGACCCCTCCTGCTTATCTAAGCAAACATAATGGATGTCTTCCGCACTGCTACTCGTATCCACCTCTCTTTTCTGTGCTGCGCAAACTTTACTGATATGTGACTGGCCGAAGTGAGAGTTTTTTATTACCCCCCCCCCTGTATATACCTGGATGAAGCGAGTGCGTGCGCATTGCCCTACAACTTCTGCGTCATTGCTGAGTGCAGGGCCGATGGGCATCAGAGTGAGAGCTCAAAAAAAGCTCTCCTTCTACTCTACATCACACTTTGTTTATTACTGACGCCCTTTTTTTAGAATCCTCGCTGGAGGAAGATGTCAAATTACTGGAAAAGAATTCAAATAGTAAATGTTTCAGGGAAACTCAACGAGTCGACACCCTCACTTCCTGTTCTGGCTGTAAGTCATCCCTGACAACCAATCTGTATTTGACTATTCGGTTTCTCCTGCCCTTAATTTATCCGCTCTCTCCTCCTTATCTGTGTGTCTGTCGCGTCTAAAAGAGGAATATTGCTGATTCTTAAAACAGCACTGCTAGTTGGCTCATTAAGCTAGAAAGTCGCGTTGCACTCATTGATATTGCCATTACCTGTGGAACGACATGTCACACTGTGAACGTGCAGGACGAAGGACATTCCGATAGAAAATCGCTGAAGCACAATTTGACAGCGATTTTTGATTGGTCTGCCTAATGAGGTTATGTCAATACTAGAAAAAAACTCAGTCAGCCTTCTCTACTCCCGCCACGTCGAATCCCGCGTAGGGCTGTTGAAGCCATTTGGGAACGTTCGGGCACACTTCACTCCCTGTTCAATAAGTTTTCAAGACGCACGTGTAGATTGATCAAATGGTAGTAGAACTTCTCATGTGCGAGGCATCAGGTCACAGCCATGAAGAAGATTACACTCGGGCTAGCCGGTGCTAAATCGATGCTAGAGGATTGCCATGATTGGAGGCTCTTCAAATCTTCATAGCCATTCAATAAGGAATGAGAAGAACACAGACACGCAACACGCCGCACGGCCAACTTGCATCTAAATCACTATGCGCACTAAACTGCGTCTTTCGCACGCTGTCCGATATTGCCACTGTCTCCCACACCTGCCACTTAGGTCTTTACCCACTCAAGTGGAACAGCGTGAGTGTATACAGCACATACGCAACGAGGCTAAAACATTCCGCAATACACACCTTTCTTGTAAGGATACTAGCGCGCTAAAGATAGCTGAGGGGGGATGAACAGGGGAAACACTTACCCCTCCTGTTCCTTCTAAACCAAGGTTTAAATTTGAACGTGGGTGGCCAAGCTCTCGAGAGACTGAGCTCGCGAGAAAACTAGTCCTAACGCTAAGCCTAAGTCGCGGATCAGTGAAAAAAGTCATAGGTGCTGCCGAGTGGTGCCCAAACTACGTCAACGCCAAAAATAGAAATAAATACTGAGCTTCTTTAAACGGCCATTTCAGGTATGCTTTCAGTGGAATGGTATTCTGCTTTCTATCTTGTTTATCAATATGCCTACTTGCTTTAACACAAGGTTTCGTCCTCTCCAATCACTACGCCCTTTGGGTTTCCACAGTCCATTTAGCAGAGAATCGGAGATACACATGCGCTAATCATCTCTATACGGAAGATGATGCAGGTCGCATCTCGAAAAATTCGGAAAAAAGAAATTCCAATTATTTAGTAAAAAAGCTATTTCATGATCTTATAAGAGCAGACAGGTTTCACCATGGTGGCACGAAGAACCTGCTGCAGCTCGACAAGAGGCAAAATGTGCCCCCCCCCTACCCCGTCGCCGAGCTGCACCAACAAACCATGATGTACCCGCTGCAAAATGCGCAACATAACACTTCACTTAACAACCTTCCTCTACCTTTTTTCTGCAGTTAGCGTTGTAGGAGTGTTTTGAACGCCTGCACATAGAATGATCTTGGCCAGATGATACGAAGCCTGCCTTAGGATCTACTAGAAAAAATGGTTCCATTTTGGGGCGCTGCGACCGTTGGCTGTAAAGAGGAGCCCGATGTCAGACCTTACTGGTACAACAATGTTCGACCCAGTGCACATCTTACAGTTGGGAGGAAATTCTGCTGGATGCAAGCACCTCATGCCCCACCACACCTCTTCGTCCCCCTCCAAGTTCCTCCCCTCGTTCCACCCCTCCTTACCTCCACATTATCTACCATCTTCCTAGATTTTCCCAACTTCCTAGCACTTTTCCGGAGTATGTTCCGAAAATCGTACCACTTTTCTCAAAAAAACCACCGTCTAGAGAGTGGCGGTTTTTCCCTCACAGGCAAGCAGGACCCCTGCAGTTGTTGATCCATAACGTACGAGTGCCCCGGTTTGACCACGCCTGAGCACAACAGCGAGTGCGACCGAGTCACGGAACACCCTAGCGTTGGGGCGCGGCTTCCATCCACAACCGACCAATCATTTTGCCAAATATTCCCGGAAATTTCCCCATCGAGTGGAGGGTTAGCCATGTTTTGCAGTGCTGCCGACTAAATGGTTACTCGGGGTGCGCCAAACCGGAAAAATCAATAAAAAGTGAAAATTTTACCAGACTGCATACGCCTTCTTTCCCTCTAGAGATCAAATACGGTCCCAATGTGAGAATCACCAGCAAGTGTATCCTGAGGCGAATGTCCATTCCAGCAATGGCGCTTTAGCTGGTGCACCGCCTCCTAGGTAATGTGCACGGCTCCCATGTGGCTATCAAGAGATAGAAAGCGGTTAGAAGGCACGGTGTACGCTGGTAAGATAAGGGCAGTGACGTTTAGTATAAACTGAGAGGTGATGACAGCGACGTTCATGGAAAAAAACAGCAGGAAAGAATTATCGGTTCGCTGTTCTGTTCGTGTTCTGCTCGGCAACGGGGGGGGGGCATTTTGCCCTTCCGCTACTTCCCTCATCGACCTATCTATGTAGACAACCTCTTCTCGAGTTGACACGTTTCACTATGATGGCTTGAGAAGCATGATCCTGCTTCACAAGGGTTCACAGGTTTGCCAAGTGAGACTTGTAAACCGGAACTAGTGCAAGAGGCAAAAGTGCAAAATGCCCCCCCCCCTCGTCGCCGAACTGCGCCGTTATTGTAACGCCATAAGTAGGAACTTCACTGTTCCGGACATTGTACGGGTTTTCCTAACAGCTGGCACATGTCATAAAAAATACTTCCCAAGTGGGCGCGGCAATACTGCAATAGCTCCTCTGTCTTGGATTCCTCCAAATGCCAAAGTTTCAGCAAGCGGTTCGAGATTCTCAACAACGGCTCACTTCTTTCCTGAATCCATGCTCGAGCGGAGACCTGAACGAGTGGGCTTATAATATTACCGAAGAACTGATTAGATGCGATGATGATGAAATAGTCAGCAGAGCTGGGGACGGATACGTCGAACGGCACTGTCAAAGTGAAAAGTAAGCACTTCAGTTGCTGCTATATAACTTTCTACTCTTAGATCACGAGTTCAATTCAGGGAATCATCTTCGAATCGATCGGTGTTTCTTCGAAGGCTTTCTTATTTGGAGGAAAACTGTTCGTGTATCGTTCGATGTGATAATGGCGTAGAATTCTTTCGTTTTGCTGGTTGTCGATGTTTACGAGATGAGCTTACACGCACAGGTAAGCAGGCGTGGGTGCGTGGGAGGGACTGTCTGGTTCCGCCCACACTCCCTATTGATGATTGTTTTCGCTGTCCACAGAGTAGTAAAAATTCCGCATCGAACTGAAGCAATAATACCTTATGATGCTTATAATCACGCAGTATCGTGATCGACCTGCTGATCGATAATTGATTAGTAATCGTCCTGCTTCGGTATCTCATAAATATGTGCGCGCTCATACTGCCACCCCGCCGCGTGTTCATATAGGGACGGTCGTTTTTGCGCAATCGCAGGAAAGTTGACTTGTAGTGAATGGTACGCGTCACTGTATGCCAACTTCAGCACTCACAGGCAAGTTACCGTAATCCGAGTTCGCCGTCAAACTCTGTGTGACGCTGCAGTGCCCCCAACTGCACCGGGCCTCACGCCTAAATATATTCTGGAAGCCGAAGGTCCCAACAACATCTTATCACGTTATCTACGTCATCAAAGTGGGTTTTTTGGACGGGCTTGCCTTTGCTTTCCATGTTGAGGGGCTTGTTTGTTTAAAATGTAGTGAGGATGGAGAAACTGCTGGTTGAAAACCTGAACACTCCTCGGTCAGTAGTCATGGACGTCACCGCAAAGTTTTAATGCACTTGTAAAAATCTAATAATAGTCAGCAACCAGTGGAAGTCGTTGCGTGAATTTTTCGCGGCGTGGAAGTTGCGGCGGCGGCAGGTCAACTAGTTAATTTAAAATAAAATATAAAAAGAATTGCGGTCGCGGAACGTGCCTTTAAGAAAATTTTTTGGTGAAACTTTGCCCACAGAGGTAATTCGGTGTCCTGATCACGAATATAGCACTCGTTTTCGGCGCCAATTGGCGCCAGTTTGGCGCCGCCACCTTTCTCACCAAATTCGGTGTAAATTTGCATAGTAGGGTTATTTGATGTCCTGATCACGATACCGAATTAGTTTTCAGCCCTGACGCCATTTGGCGCTGATTTGGCGCCACACCCTTTTTCATCAAAATTGATAAAAACCTGCAAAGTAGAGATGCCCCGGTCACAAATATGGCACCAGCGCCATTTAGCGCCCTTCTGAGGCTGAGCGCGGGAAAGAGTGATTGTGTTCAGGCTAGGCTCAGCATTATCAAATTGCAGATGATCGTAGTGTCCTCCATTAGCGCCAGCGCCAGAAAATGTCATATTTGTAATCAGGATGTCAAATAACCCCATATACGAGTTTTCAGCGGATTTGGTGACCTGGGACGTCTTTGCGGGCGTCAGGCAGCTTTAGGTCAAGCGGATGTGATATACGTGTTCAGGTAGAGGTCGAACAACCCCTAGAAGTGAATTTTCAGCCAAATTCAACCCTGAACCTCCTTAGAAAAAAGTCGGTCAAAATGGCCCGTTTTTGGAAGATTGGGGTAGCATGGGTAGTAATAGTTGAATAGCGCCAAAAAAACTAGGGAATAAGTTAACTGTGAAGGAAGGGATCATTAGCAAAAAAAACAGCGCAAAGTAACACTGGGGAAAAGATCATCAGGAACAAAAGGAATCGAAAAAATGTCCTTCTCAGGACAGAAGTATTGCCATTTTGGTAAGCCATATTTTGAGTACTATTACTAGAAAAATGGCAATAAAACCCATAGAAAAACTTAAGATGCTTTTGGGGACAGTCGGTCAATATATTTAGGCGTGGATCCCGGTGTAGTTGGGGGGGGGCACTGCCGTGTCACACCGTATTTCACGGGCAGGGCGGACACGTGGGAGGGCATGAACGCACACCCCTTCATGCCCTCCCACGTGTCGCGAGAAAATGCCAGTATTAGCGCGCCACTAACTGACGCGCGCACTTATGCGATAATTGAAACTTAATATTTCTAAGTGAATAGCGGGCTAGAGCGTGAGCCGATTATTGCGACAGATCGCCTGGAGCGTGTGTTAGCCGCAGACTTCCGCGATATACTTCTTGTTTTGATGATGCAGATCAGGGGAGCTGTGTCTGGGAGTATTTAC